AAGCCAATTCATTGTTTCTAACAAACTAGTATATCTACTTCTTGCTTCTTGAATTGGTTTAGATGTATCCAATATTTGGTAACAATTTGTGTTTATATCAAATAATGGATGTGGACATACATCGATATTTTCTTGAGTTTTTTGGGGATATGTATGACAATATGCAATAATATATGGTGATGATGATGATGATGATTCATTAGTGAGAGGATTTGTCATACATAAACGAGTTGATAATATATGTGAATTAGAAGAAGTAGAGTGAATACGTAAACAACCATTATCCAATATGTATGATGTATTATAATTCTTATTAACAATATTTGAATTAATAGTATTGTTATTTGTTGAACATAACCATAAAGAATTAATTGTAATATTATCAGTGAAATCTATAGAAAGAATAGATTTTGTTATGTTTAATTTTCTGATAGATTTTAAAAATATATTCCATGTCGGATTTCCATTATAAATATAATTCATCGAAGGTGATGGACAAGAATTAGAAATTCCTTTGTATTTTAATATACATTTCTCAAATTCTTTTATATAAATCGAACCAATTGGACATATAGCATTTAAATTATAAATAGTCCATATACGTGAGTCTTTCAAAGAACCACATATAAATTTCTGTTGAATTTTCGAATTTATAAATATGTTATCACAATAGCGATCACAACTATTATTGGATAAAATTGTTAAATGATGAGTATCATCAGAATCTAGATTTAATCTTTGTGATATTATACATAAACATTGATTGTTATCACCGTTGAAAGCTAGAAATAAATTTGAGATTTACCTATAGAATGATCTTTTTTCACATTTTTATACGGATTATAATTTATAATACAATGAAGTTTATGATTATCTTTAAGAATTGAATATTCTTGTCATCTTGTTTAATACAACAACATTAAAGAAAAATTATTATTAAATCGAAGATTTGATGATTTTGCTCTTTCTCAGTTCAGATTGAATAAGTAAGAAAAACCTCCTTCATGAAATCAAATAATATTAGAAGATTTCTCTCAGATAAGTCATCTGAGAAGATATTGTTCGGTTCTAACAATGACTCATTAGTTAACTAGTATTAGCATTTATTAAGTGTGTGAATTTGTTTCTCAATACAGACTATTTCTCTTAGTAGGTATTATACTTATTTTTCATCTACTTTTCTTGTACTATTAAATGACATTATCATGTGAAATGATCTTGATGACACGTAAGAATCTCTCACTATTTACGAAACTTTTTATAAGTATATCAGATATTTGTTATCGATTCGATGATTTTACGACTCAAACAAGGCAACCTTGGTTATTCGAGAGTCATTTGAGAAAAGATTCGTTTTCATTTTGTTACTTTAAATTTTTGATCACTTTCTCAGTATTTGAGGTGTTGAATTCCACGTATCAATCGAAAAAAATTGACAAGTGAATAATATTCTCAATTTAAAAGAATCAAGCAAACTAAGTTCATTTTTTTATGATGAATGTTTGTAGAGAAGGCGAGTGTAATACACCTGATGCGAATGATATTTTTAAAACACTATTATAAAAAAAAATTCGAATAGTCGTGTTACATGAGAAAGTTGGTCTAGGCTAAGTTTTTTCAGCTTTGACCAAACTTAACGCTATCTGAAACTTAAGGGTTTTAGACCATGCTCTTTCTTTTGTCTAGCGGACACTTTTGTCCAAAATACTCGGAAATAGATTTTCTATAAAACTGTGGTTTTAGGACCAATGGTCGCGAAAGATTTTTTGTTTGGATAGAGTAAACAATTCTCTACAAAATGAGATGTTTCCGAGGTCTCTACGACGTTTTTTGGCCGAGTTATATCAATTTTAGTAAAGGGCAAAAGTCATTTTTTCATTTTTCCCAGAGGAAATAGCAGAAAAAAATGGCTTTTGCCCTTTACTAAAATTGATATAACTCGGCCAAAAAACGGCGTAGAAAGCTCGGAGACATCTCATTTTGTAGAGAATTGTTTGCTCTATCCTTATAGATTGTCAAAACAAAAAATCTTTCGCGACTATTGGTTCTAAAACCACAGTTTTATAGAAAATCTATTTCCGAGTATTTTGGACAAAAGTGTCCGCTAGACAAAAGAAAGAGCATGGTCTAGAACCCTTAAGTTCCAGATGGCATCAGAATCAGATGCACCCTTATCGAGTTAGTTTTTTCATGTAACACGCCTATTCGCTTGAGAGTGAAGAAGTCAACATACTGGAATGAATCGTGTAGCTATTACAATTACTCATGATTTCTACAACTAATATTAACCTGAGACTGACACAATATATTATTCTGTAGGATAGTCTACGGAAGGGAGTATATTGAAACAAAAAAACATGTTCATTTATTCAAAAATAATTAAATGAAACTTAACTAATGACATATTTCTTTTACCTATAGATTCTGTAGTAACATTTTGATTGAGACATGTAATTGCACAACGTTCCAATTTAGTCAATTGAGTTTGAAAAGATGATTCATTAATTTTCACTTGTACTGTATCATAATAATCGGAAGTATTCCATAATTCACATGATTTCAATTGAATTTGAAAATTAAATAAATCAGCTTGTTGAATGTAATAGTTTTCTTCAGCATAAACTGAATATGTTTCTTTGCCTCCACATGTATTAGTTGTTACAACTTGATCATTATTTGATATTTCGCACGATGTCTTACAAAGATTATCGCTCACTCGATTATGATCCGTAAGACCAACACTTGAACATCGACAAATGGTACCTTGTAAATAAATAACTGGTGTTTCACATAAAATAAAACATAACGTTGGTTCCATATATGAACTTGTGAAATAATCATTATAGTAGAATCCTTGTTTATAGCAGCCAACATAATGATATGTACCATACACCGAATAAATTATAGAAAATATCATTAAAACAATAATCATTCTTGATTCCAACATTATATGCTGGAATAATGTAAATTAATGATGAATGTGACAAAATTATTTAAAAAAATATCTACAAAAAGGAAACTAATAATAGGAAGGGACAACAAGCTTTTGCTTCATGTTATTAATATCTGATGATACACATTAGAAGTATTATATTTTTCGATGAAAACTATTAACGTCAACGGATCCTTATATAGAGTCAGTCATCCTAATTCTGCCGGAGAAAAAACTGATCTTTTGTATTTCTTTTATAACTCAATTTATATATCTCGTAGAGAAGTAATTTTTTCTTTGCAGAATAGAGCGATGTGCTGGAAATATGTCGAAAAGTAAATATGGAATTAGAAGAATATAGTAATAGAAAAATATCGAAGAAGATGATATCTCCAATAAATTGTAACTCTAACTACGTCTAGTTCATTGTTGTTTTTTCTCATAATTCTACTAGCATTGAAGTTTAACTAATCGTGATTTTGACGACTAATACTTGATAAAAATTAAATAAGAGAGTTAAGCGAAGAACTATTATAGTAACTAAAATTCTTCTGTCACGACTAAAACCGTTACATCTTAAAATGATGTAACCCGATCAAAATCTCTAGCTATTTCATTTATAAATTCAAATAAAGAAAAATCTTTACTCGTAGTAGATGATTGTTTTCAAACTGATAAAACAACAACCTGGAGTTGCTACGCAGAAAAAAATTATAAATCAATTTTTTTCATTGTCGGCATTTGATCACTGTTACAATATTAACATTAACTCATATTATATAAAACGTTCTTCACTATTCACAACTCTTCAAAATATTTATCAACCATGTTTCTGTCGATATTATTTTTTCGACATTTTTACGATCAACCGATAGAGCAAACATTTCTATATCGAATGATATAAAATTGATTAGAAAATATCTAATGAATTACTTAGAAGAAACGTGAAAGTAGAGAGGACGTCAAATCTTATTCAATTCTGATGTGTTTCTAATTCAGCCACTTCACGTATTTTCATCTATTTCAAAATTTTTCTTAGTCGATTATTAGTATGCATAACTGCTAACAAAAGGTTTTTGGCAATGCAAATAATAGAAAAAACGAGAATGTTGCCTTTTTGACAACTCCCGGCTGTATGGAATCAAAAACTTTCCAAAATTGTTATCAATCTTCAGCTCTAATATTTATAAACTCTGTGACCAAGATAAAAATTTTCATTCAACATTGATTTGTCTCTGGATAGATATGTTGTTTCCAAAGAATGGCTAATGATTTGTTCTGAATTATTAGCATTTTATAAAATAAAGTTTTCGATGCTGAAATTAAAGTAAGATTTATTATCATATACACGAACGACTACTATAGACAAATATATTCAAGCTTAAGAGAAAAATCTCTTGTCTGATTACCTAGATTGTTGACTGATAGTCAATGATTACTTTAAATATAAGTATAACATATTTTCTTCGTTGATAAATATTCATTCTATGATAATAAATATTAAATTAAAAATAATGACAAAAAGAACTATAATGAATTGAAGAAATAACTTAAGCAGCTGAGAACACAAGTTACTGTTGAGATGAAACTATTGATTTCTCTCAAGATCATAATGACCTACGAAATTGAAATCCTTTTTCAGTCGACAGTCACATTTCTTATTAACTAGTTAAATATGACAATAGTACTATTTATTAAATGATATAGGCAGTTATGAACTACATTTTGATACAAATCATTTATCGATAATAATTTGCATAATTTCGATGTTTCAAATATTCAATAAGAAAGAATATTAAAATAAACGAAATATACCGAGGTAACTACCTAATGGACTCAGTATAGCAAGAATGGGAAAAATACGAATGTGTCATCTAAATCAATAGCCATAGAATTGGACAGTACAACAAAGCTACAGTAAAAAAAAGCACAAAATTTCACTCTGGAATAAAACTATTCAATGACATTATTTTCCTGTTAATAATGGAGAATAAAAAAGCTCGTGATCAGTTTTTGACTTTTTAATGTCAACTATTATTTATTTCGAATTTAACAACGGTTATTACATATACATACGAATCCACCACAAGACATAAGAATGAATAAAATTGAAGATATCAATCAAATTAATAGATAATATTAAGGTATAAAGCTTTTAAAAATTGTTTCATCTTCAATTGCTATTATTGAAAATTTATGCATAAACACTAGAAAATAAATATAAAACATACCATAAATTTGTCATAAATATCATTTATTCTGTATTAAGAGAGAGTCCATGAGACCACAAAGGAATCGAGGCACTCGTTAAAATTTAAATTTTCGATTTTTTTATGTGCACTTAAACGGACTACGTCTGAAACTAATAGTCCTAAATTTTTAGCTCATTTGGATGTTTTCTAGTAAAGTTAGCTCGGACCGACTTTTACCACCCTTTACCTAGTATCAAGAAAAACAATGATAAATCATATCATTAAGTCTGATATAATGAGCTAAATGAAATACTGTATATAATTCCTTTATTCGGCTAACATGAATGAACAAAGGTAATCGATTACCAAACTATGACATTAGACTTTTGAAGGTATACCTGTTGCCATTTATCGAACACTTGAGACCCGAAACTGAATTTTTTATATGTTGCGTAAATATCGATTCTCTAGAAAATAGTAAAAAAATTAGACAAAAAAAAAAGGTATGCTTGATACAAAAAGGGGCATATATACTTTCTGCGAATTACAATTCTTCCCTGGATCGAATGACATAGGCCATTTTTTCGAAAAAAGGAAAAAATTTTCGACCGCCTAGATCCTTGAGGGGGAGTACAGGAATTTCGAAAAAAAAAATTTTTCTTGCAATCGAAATATGATCGATTAAAAAGATAGAGGTACGAATACTGTTCACAACTGTATATTGTAAGTCCATAATTATGCAAGATTTAGTGACATAGGATGAATATTTAGGGTCATTTTCTTTCAATACAACCTCGAATATTCTAACAGAAAAGCGGTCTTTATAAAACTGAATAACAGCTGATACCGAATTTTCAGTATATATTTGTGCTCAACATTCTTGCCCTTATATTTTTAATCAATCATATTTCGATTGCAAGAACAAATTTTTTTTTTCGAAATTCCTGTACTCCCCCTCAGGGATCTAGGCGATCGAAATTTTTTTTCTTTTTTTGAAAAAATGGCCTATGTCATTCGATCCAGGGGAGAATTGTAATTCGTAGAAAGTCAAAATTTTCATAAGTGGAAGTCTTTGGATAACGTGGAAGGTCATTTTCCTGGCTACTGTTTACCTAACTTTTGACAGTATATACCCCTTTTTGTATCAAGCATACCTTTTTTTTTTGTCTAATTTTTTTACTATTTTCTAGAGAATCGATAGTCACACAACATATAAAAAATTCAGTTTGGAGTCTGAAGTTTTCGATAAATGGCAACAGGTATACCTTCAAAAGTCTAATGTCATAGTTTGGTAATCGATCACCTTTGTTCATTAATGTTAGCCGAATAAAGGAATTATATACAATATTTCATTTAGCTCATTATATCAGACTTAATGACATAATTTATCATTGTTTTTCTTGATACTAGGTAAAGGGTGGTAAAAGTCGGTTTGGGCTAACTTTACTAGAAAACGTCGAAATGAGCTAAAAATTTAGGACTATTAGTTTCAGACGTAGTCTGTTTAAGTGCACATAAAAAATCGAAAATTTAAATTTTGACGCGTGCTTCGTATACTGAGGTCATGCTTGATGATATCATGGAGGTTCTCTTAATAATTGCATCTATTTAGCACTCTAGTTTACAAGAATTCAAAAATATCTATATTTAAATTCGTGATGAACAACAACAACAATAGATCAGTTAGAGAAGAAGTAAATTTTAGTAATCAATTTAAAATAACTGTCAATTGACATACATAAAATTAAGATTAGTAAAGGATGGTGCAGACTAAATGGCCGCTTTTTACATTACATGTTTTCACTGATTAATATGTTTTATTTAAAAAAGAAAACAAAATACGTAATGTGAAAAGTTCTACATTATAAGTCGAACTGCTTATTTCATTGTTGTATTTTTTTACTGTAAAAATAGACAAAACTTCGAGTGATCTAATTTCGAACTTGCAAAAAAATATCTTCTTTGTCGTTCGAGATGAATACAGTTTTTCTTTTACTTAAAATAAAACAAATGATACCACTAGATATAATATGAAAATTTCAACAACTTACAACGAATAATCGGCTTTTGAGTTGTGGTTTTTGATTTCGAAATCGGCACAACTTTAGGTGATTAAATTTCAATGCTGTGAAAATATCTTTTTTTTCTCCTGTTTCCCGCTCAATATATTAAAAATAATACACTATCAAATAAACCTTGTATTTTCATAGAAAAAAAAGTGCAATAATGAAATAAACAGTCCGACTTTATAGTGTAGAGCTTTACATACTGTATGTTTTGTTCTTTTAATAGAACATATAAATTAATGAAAATATCAAATGTGAACAGCGTTCATTGATTATGCTTCATCATATGTAGAAACATGATAACATGAACATGTTTATATTGTACAGTCCTTGTTTATCTACTTTTATTGAACTTATTCATCTAAACTAGAACTAAGGCAAAAAGAAAATAAAAACATCATTCGTTTAACTATTGAATTTCGAACAAACTCATCGCTGAATGAAAAGAAATGTATTATGTGTAGGGAACTGCAAAATGACTGTTTTTTGGTCCTGGTTAAAATTTTATATTGGTCTCGGTCCTATTGAAAATTTTACATTGGCTTTGAAACCCATGCTATAGATGTTGTATCGTTTCTAAAATTCAACAACCTGCTTTTTAATAACATAAATGACTAATTTTAAACGGATTTCATTTAGAGATTTCATTTGACTGTATCAAATGCAGAGTCTGTTGGACTTATTGTTGAAACATTTTTGCAAGATTAAACCTAAGTTTTATATCAATTTCTCTATTCTGAACAAGTGTCGAAGTATTGTTTTGAATACAAATGAATAGAACAACAAAACTAAGGATTCATTATTAGGTCATAGCAATAAAATGCCAAAAAATATAGTAAAAATATGCTGAAAATCCTATCAAATCAAAGTTATGTATGTTGTATTTCAAATACTGAAAAACTCGCACAAAATATCGAAAGATTCAGATGATTTGACACATTATTGGGGCTCAATAAAGAAATTTTACTGAAATTGTTGATAAAAACGTTTGATTTTGGAGATTTTTAGTCCAGATAAAACAAAAAATATAACAAATAATAACCGAATTTTTGATAAAAAAATAATGACCGGAACCAGATGGAAATTTTAGTCCCGGTCCCGATAAAAAGCAAAATTTTGGTTCCAATCCAGGCGGGGCCAGGATCATTTTGCAGTTCCCTAATTATGTATATCTTCGAAATGAGTAGCTGATTCTAATGAGAGAATGAAAACTATGTTCACAACTATGTGTATCATATAACATTATACTTAAGCATAATTTTCTATCGAAACTCACAATGATTTCCTTTTTTTTAAATGAAATTCTTTGACTAGTGAAATAAACTTTTCTATTCTTCATAGAGAAATGTAATTATTAACAAACTAACCGTTTAGCTAGTACAGTACGAGCCGTTATAATTGGCAATTTTTGACATATTACAGTCGCTGATTGATTGCAAGATTTTTCATTGCATTCACTTCCTACTGAAAAATTCGATCCAAGCTTAATATGTGTACATTTTGTTGTAAGAACTTCTAGTTCATCTATGTCTTTCATTGTTAGATTAGATAGAAGTTCTATTAAATTAAAAATATTGTCATGATACGATTCTTTACATAAAGTATGATAGTATTCATAATCGGGTTTATGTGTTTTAATGCTTTCATCAATTGATTTACGCCATTTAATATAAGAAGTTTCATTGACATAAGAAAAATCAGTATGTATAATACTAGTAGATGATATATTATTATGTTGATGTGGAATAAATTTTGTTACCGAGCGGTACATCCCATTTATTGTGGGTAAAAATAACGTAGCGTTATCACGTTCACATTCAGCTTTTCCTTCATGCCAAGTCATTTTGTGCAATAATACCTTATAACAAAAAATATCGATTAAATGATAATCTGTATCGTTACCACATGAATTATCTAAGAACATATTAACTTTTACGGTCGATAAATCATCAACTATCATTGAAGGCATTGTGTTTAAATGAGATTCTAGATTTTTGTCAACACAGACAGGCGTTGCAGATGCCGATGAACATTGATCTGATTCAGATAAACATCGTTGAAGTTGCAGCACATTGTCAACGAAAATCTTTTCACGACGAAGAACAATACAGTTTCGATCAATTGATTTTGATCTTTCGATACAATTTCTGAGAAAACCTTGTGATGTTGTATTGTTATTTATAATATTCGTTGTACGATCAATCCAAAAATACTCTTTTTTATTAATTATTGAATAATCAAATGGAAATCTATCGAAATAATAATTATTATTATTAAGTAATCCATTAGGTAATAGATCTTGAATTTCTAAAATATCATTTATTTTTGCTAGTACCCCACCTCTAGATTTACAATAAGATTGTGCACTTGAAAAAGAATCTTTTACTAAATATGTAACATGAGTACATCGTTGCTGTTTATCAGTCATTTGAAAACCTAATAAAATTAAATCTTGTCCTTTTTTTTTCGTTTAACTGAAAATTATTGACACTTTTTCTTACCTAATGGACATACGGGTCGCATAAGATATACTGAATATATTGTTGAATCATTTGTGTGTCCACATCTATAAAAATAATTACCATAACATTTGCGATCACAATTAAAGAAAGTCAGCTTGTTTGTTGTTGTTATTGTATTATTCATACATAAACATGTATTTGAATTAAGAAGTGCATATCGTTGTTCATACTTTTTACATAGTAATAAACAATGGCGTGGATGAATATCATGATTATTAAGCATATTGAATTGATATATTCCGAATTGATTGGTATTATTAAACTGTACACAGCTATCATAAACGAAATCAGGATATGTTTTATAGTATTTCCTAGATTCATCATATGTCTGCGTATGGAAAGCATTCTTTCTACGTAAGACAACGATTGTATTTGTATCACCACAGTATTCATTTGGATTACCTAAAGTTTTCAATATCACATACATATACACCTGGAAAAAATAAGCTTTAGTCTGCCCTAGTGAATGTACTCCCTGAGTACTCATTGTAGTACTCGTTGTCTTTTTTTCTGAAAAGACTCAATATACAGAATGGAATGTGTTAGGACGAAAAAGATATCGTGCGCTGACTTTCTATGGATGGTAAGTTCACAATTTTAACAAGATAATTTCCTTCTGTGACTGTAACGTTGCAGAGAAGCGGACTTATCCAGAGTTTACGAAGCTTCTCGAAGGGCAACAAACCGGGACTTTAAATGGTCTAGTTTCTACTAACTATAAGAAATGAACGGTCGTAGTTTTCGACTAGAATACACTGCCATAAAAGTAAGGATGTGTAGCACTCATATACTCGAAACTCATCGTGAGTACGACCGACGAGTACTAATGAGTACTCGCGGCATTTTCTAGCGTGAGTACTTTTGAGTATTCTCTAGATGAGTACTTTCACTGTATTTTGAGAATGTCGTTAGCATAGCAGCGTGCTTTTTGAAAAATAATGATTTATCCTGAAAGCGCATGAATTTTTCTATTAGACTATATATTTGCCTTTTTGTTTGAATGTATATATTGCCAAAAACTCTGACTGTAATGAGGGCACCCTCATGTCTAGATTCCCACACATTTAATTTTGTTACTATCATCAAAACTCGTTTTATCACAATAGGATTACCTTTTGGAAAAAGTATTTATATATTTTGATAGAGCTTGAAGTTCTCTATTATCCTGTATATTTAGTTATTTCCTTACATTAATTTATTGAAAAAGAAAATTTGAGTGCAGTGAACATACCGTCAACTGACAAGTACAAAAAATCGTTACTTGTTTTTGTTTCTCTCAAAATATAGTTACTATAAAAATAAATTTCTGAAATGGGAATTAGATATTCTGATAGAGCTTGAAATTCTCTATCATTATGCAATTTTGAAATACAAAAAGAGATATGTAGTAAAAAGCTAATTTCTTCTAGAACTTGTCGACTTAATACTCGAATTATTCTCCAGCACATAAATGCAAAATAGTTTTAAAATGTACAGGATGCTAGAGAATTCGAAGCAGTATAAGGATCTGTGATTACTTTTCAAAAGTAAATTTTCTCATAAAAATAATAAATTTAAAGATGGAACTCCACAAGCGTCGAAAAATGCATATTGTTGGCACTTGTCAATGGACGGTGCATTCGCCGTACTCAAATTTCCTTTTCGACAAATTAATATAAGAAAATAAGTAAATATATAGGATGATACAGAATTTCAAGCTCTATCAAAATATATAATTACTTTTTCCAAAAGATAATCCTATAATGATAAAACGTGTTTTGATAATAGTAACAAAATTAAATGTGTGGGAATCTAGACATGAGGGGGCCCTCATTACAGTCAGAGTTTTTGGCAATATATACATTCAAACAAAAAGGCAAATATATAGTCTAATAGAAAAATTCATGCGCTTTCAGGATAAATCATTATTTTTCAAAAAGCACGCTGCTATGCTAACGATATTCTCAAAATACAGACTAAAGCTTATTTTTTTCAGGCGTATGTATAAGTTTTAATCAAATGAATGGTCGATTATTAGGATAAAAAAAATATTGTTAGTACAATCACATCCTTAGATGCTACAATATGAAATTCATATGTCGACATTAGAATTCTCTTTCTCATATACTACTCATGGATGGAACTAGTCTATCGATAAAAATCGGTTCAATCGCTACTAAACAAGAACCCGATGGTCGATCAATTAATTACAAACATGTAACGTTTTGATAAAATATTGATGTACAAACAACATATCGAGACATACCGTGATATATCGTTCAGTATTCTATTCTTTCTTGTGGGTGTTTTTGCTACCGCTACCTTTAGTGGTACAATTTTTCTCATTTGACAACAATTGCTCGATCAAGAAGATTTTAGAAATATATTGTCAAATTATGTGATAAACGAGATGAGGATTGATGATAGCTAAGTTTTAGTTTGAACCATGCGTATTGGTAATTATCGATAGACTAGTTTCGACCAGCATACCAACCGAACCAAAATTCAAACTGATACTGATCCCATCTATGGTACTATTATAAGTAACATTTCAACAAATATTGACTTTTTCTGTTTTAAGAATTTAATCTCAGCTAGCTTTAAATCATAATTATTTGATGGTGATTGCATCAATAGTCGAAATATGATTTTAAACAGGCGTATAAAAGCAAGCAATTCACAACACATAGGCCATGAACAGCAAGATGCTTAACGGGTGAGTCAATAGACGTCGTCTTATGTCTTAGAATTCACTCTATGATTTCTCTAGAGGAACGGTCAACAAAATAGTATGAAGTAATTTTTGAAGGAAATCCAAACTATAGCAAAGATTTAAGTAACTGAAAAATATAATTCAAAATTGAGATGAATCCATTAAAAGAACTCATCGATTCTATAATTAGTACCGCGTGACTGTACAAAATATTATCAACGAAGGACTTTCGTAAGTTTATTTCTTCTTAACATAATGTTGAAATATAGTTTAACTAGATCAAAAACCAAAAAAAAGAAAATCATTCATATTAACATATGAAACATACCTGGACAGGACTTCCCACAGTCTTTTGTGATATATTCTCTATATTTCTCTTTGAAATCGATGGTTTCCGAAGTTGTTTCCAAGCAATAACATCTATTCATATGTAGAAGACTGACATGTGCTACTAAGTCCATGCAAGTAGACATGCATAATTCATGTGTTAAGTAATTTGATATAATAACAGGTACATCAAGTGTTAATGGTTTACGAAAACAAATTTGTTGATTTCTCTGATCAATAATAATTGACCTTTTTCTACATAAGACATGTCTTAATTGAGAACAATTATTGCTTTGATTTGCTATTGAAATAGAAATTCTTTGTTGTTCATTGGATGTTGCACGTGTCACAACTAAACACAATTTGTCATTCATAGTCGAATTATTATTTTTAATTGAGATTATTATTTGAAATTCATTTATTGACGAACGATTGAGATCAGTATTAGAAGATAATGATAATTCAGATTCTATTTTGTACACATCTAAGAAGAAATCATTTTCGTTAATAATAACAATTAAAATGTCTTTTTCTCAATATGTGTCGAAGTGTTATTAGAAAACATTATATCATAACTTATGATTGTGAAATAATCACG